TTTGACTCATTACAACAAAGTCCAAGGTTAGCAGCTAGAGTACACTTGAGGACAACATCAAAAGAGATTAAATTACCTTATTATATATTCATGGGCCACTCCGAGTGTCTATTACAGCCCATGACTGAGCCAAGTACTAAGCGGTGCAAAGCACCATTACAACACCAAGCACTTGCATCATATATAGCATCTGCATCATGCATAGGTAAAAGTGTTTATTGTAACTGACAAATATTTTTCCCTGTCTCTCCAAACCTAGCACAAGATTTATTGTGATCCCAAATTAAGTACACATTAAAACTTTTCCTACTTTTAATCCTTGATATTCCAGTAAATTGGAATTTTTTTATAACAAATCATTGAATACCCATCGTTGCGTCGTTTTGGTTCATAAATAGAATTTTAAATTCAGGAATCAAAGAGAAAATTATCTCATAGGTTTAACTTGTTATCTTATTCAAAACCATTGGTAAAATTGTTATCTATAGATCTGGTATTTTCCCTGTCTATATGTTTTAAGTCCCCAAGTTACTAGCAAAACAACACCCTTGTTGAACTCTTTAGCTCTTCAGTCTTCCCACTTGAGCCTGCCACTTTATTGTAAAGCACTGGATCAAATGGATCATTTAGAAAATAATTTTTCATAATTCACAAGTCACGGAGCACTAACCATGTTCTATTTCACTATCGCCCCATCACGTTTAATGCATTGTAGGCCTAATAGGCCTGGACATAATATTGTAGGCTAATATTTACAAGTGACCTGCATTCTTATAATGTTAAGAAACAAATAATGGCGCTGAGCGCAAACTGCACATTTTAATAGGGTCCAAAACGTTTTTGGGACAAAACTAATCCAATGCAATCCGGTTTACCTTTCAAAGATTATATTTGTTTAAGAGAGTATTAAGTGAATAAAACTACTCATTTTTAAGAAATTAAACTTGTTCACGACATAAAGAGCGATTTTTGTAGCTCTACGAGATTACAACTATCAAACTGTTGTCTATTTAATATAAATATTCATAAATTGTGTCTTCTCTTGTTTATAATTTTAATGTCGTTGAACATTTAACTTTGATCAGCTGTTATAATTCACATTTTGAACTATAACGATAGAGAAAGACGGTCAGCAACACTGGATCTTTGAAAATGAACTCGAAAAATAAATTAAAAGCTGGGGGGCAAACCCCTAGAAGAAATCAACTTTAAAGCTACCCTTCGTCACTTGGCTAGATAATAACCCTTAAAACGACACCTCAACCGTGAATAATTGGTTTTGTAGAACGGCTTGAAAAGGAATGCTACATAAAAAACCCTTACTGTAAGCATACAGATTTTATTTGTCAACTATCAATTTCTATTACCTACCTAAGCAGACTATATCTAATATATTTAAAGTTTATCCTTCGAATATCTACCGAAAACCCGTTAGACATACTTGATAAGCAAGCAAAGCAAATCCTATCTGAGTGGTTGTGTTATCTGAACCGCGATTAGAGGACCTGCTAAACTTCATGAATAATACAGCGACTCAAGGAGGGTTGAGTGTTTACCTTTGGTTGCTGTCTTCACTGATGAAGCGCAGCTAAGTGCTGACGTAATTATGGAAATTATGGATTTAGTGGCCAATTTTTTAATTACCGGGTAATGCAAATCTGTACAGAAATTGTGTTACTTATGTATAAAAATGCGCTGTGTGTTAACATTATATTTACCTACGACCATTGTTTACTTTCATAACAACGTAGTTTTAATCATAACAACATGGGTAACGGACCAAATATTGAGAGAAAAGTAAAATTGTTATGATTCAAACTTCAACTAATTAGCTGTTAAGGCGAATTTAATTGTTGAGTGGTGCAATTAATTATTGTTGGTTTCATTGCACCACTGACAGTGGCAATGAGAGGTTATAAACGAAAACATAGCCTCTCTTAGAAGTTATGAGTAGTGATTTTTAGTAATTAACACACTGTCGTATAAAAAGTAGTGTACGCAACTCGTGTAAATAGTGTTAACGACACTCGTACAAGTTTTTATGGCACTCACCAAGGGTCGTACCTAAATGTCCTCCTTCGTGTCGTTAACACTATCTTTACGCAATCCTAGCTTTGGGTTTTTTTAGTTGTCATTCATAGTGAGAATTGTAGCGGGCATTTAAAATATTGGCATATCAGATATTTAGCAGCCTAATTAAGTGGACTTCCACTTTTTAAGACACCTGTGGACAATAGTTGTTTACGTTATATTACGCTGTTTATATATTTATGGTAATTATCACACTCAACAAAACCCTCGTTCGTCAACTTTATTGATCTGAAAAAGATCACTTTGGACACTTATTGCACATTTGATTTTGTCTAAAAACTTTTGGTACTTACGTATTATACGGAGGCCACTTATTTTACAGCGCGCTGTGGCGGTTGGGTTAAGTTGGGTTATCATTAATATGTTTGTAGAACTTTCCTAGTTTCGTTATGAATCGAACTGTACGAGATGAGTCATAAAAACTTATGATAACCCAACCTAACCTAACCGCCGCAGCGCGCTGTAAAATAAGTGGCCTCCGTATAATACGTAAGTACCAAACTTTTGTACGTCAAAACCAAAAATGTATAATGTGTTCAACAAACGAAAATATTCAGATTTGAATGGTTTTGTGACTGAGATTTATTATTAAAGCAACTAAGATATGAAGAAGAAAAATTTTAGGCAATTTGCTAGCTGACAATATGTCTCTCCAATAAATAATGTTAATTAATTATTTTCATAAATTAACAACTACGTAATTTTTTAAAAAAATGCATTTATTTGTATTTATATAATTTTGAATGAGAAGAATTAATTTGCTATACATAAAACCAATTAAATAAAAAAATGTTCCTGAACTTTGTATTTTGTTCATTTGTTATAATTGTATTTATATTTAATTTTTTATTTTTTAATGGCGGCCATACAAAGTAGGTATTATGGCAAAGTATGAATTGAGATAAGTGTAGTGGCGCGATCTTGTAGTCTTGTTAGTGTCTAAGGCCGACATATTCCTTAGACACAGTCCATACAGCTAATGGCAACTAAGACACCTACAATTTATAGTGGAATCTGAACCACATTGTTGGCTTGGTTTTAACGAGTTGGTGGTTTGATGCATCAGGATAGTAAGGCGAGGAAATAGGTTGTTTTGTGAACCAATTCTTGTAAGAAACTTTATATGACAACTTTGTATGATAACTAGAAGTAGAAATATTCCTCCTTGACCAGAAGGAAGCTTATCATAACTATCAACCCATTAAATCTTCTACCCAACACTCTATGCAAAATTTGTTTCATAAATCATTTACAAATTAACTTCAAAAGAATTTTCCTTCTAAAAACGTACCTTTCTCAAATACACAAATTATACCATGGGGCCAACTCTTGTTTGAAAGGGACTCAAATAAATTAAACACTTTGCAATGCTTGGTCAAAAAGAGACCGTTTTTATTTGTCTAAGAAAATTGCTTATCACTAAAGGATGAGAACAAATATACATTTCATCTTTGATATCAACAATCATGTTTCCGGTAGTGAAACAATAATAGGGTGTCATAATAAATATCAAATTTAAATAACATTGGTTTAATATCAAGAAGTTCTTCAAAACTAAGAACAGTAGTTTGAAGCTTTCCCAGTTTCTACACACAGATTAAATTCCTAAGCGACAACAGTAATTTAGAATATAGCATCCTATTTGTCTGTATATTCTTGTATGTTTAGAGGGTTAAAGGCCAAATACTGATGGTGTCAAACTAATTTTGATCTAACGAAAATTATAAATAGTAATAACAATAATAATCCATATACTTAGATTTCTTTTAGTTTTCGTTGTTTTATGACACAAGACGTACAGGTAGAACCGATTTTAATTTGATATTGCTCATTTAATAAAATATTTATAGACTCAAACATATAAAATAACATCAAGAATAACTAATGAAGTATCCGATTTCTAAATATTTACAGTAGATGTACAATTAACATAACGAATCTATACGACCAATAGTTAACCACAGATTCAGTCACTCTTAACACAACCAGCATTGGCTATAAATTCAATAAAGTATGTAACACAATAAATAGCGAATTATATTTCTATCAGGTACACAACTCAAGTGTTTTTATGACTACGTAACACACTTTAAGTCCATTGCTTAATACATGTCTAACTTATTTATTTTTATTTATACGGTTCGGAAAAATTTTAAAGAGTTGTTCTTAGAATGAATTAAAAGTAAATCTGAAAACAGCTTCTTAAAAAAAAAAAAAAAAAAAACTATTATTTGACTTTTTTATTTACGATTTAGAATGTTTCAAAAGAGTATTGAACTCATCAAAGTTATAAACAATAAGGCTGGTACAACTTTTTTCAAAATCACAATTATCAAGAATTATTCAATGTCAAAAAGGGAAGCTTATAGCTATTTACATACATGACATAATAAAAATTGCAATTTAAGTAAGTGATTAAAGAGTACAACCAATTTGTAAATCATCCTGAAGCACTCCGGGCTGGTAGGTACAGCAGGATTCAAATCAGAGATTTAAGGTTAACCGATAAAGGTGAAGAGACCGGATCACACATATTATAACATCTTTTGTAAAATACTATGAAATTACTAAATTTAACAGAGATGTTCATCCAACGACTTGCATTCATAAAATTCAAATTATATCGATAACCACATACAGAGACTACAGACAGAATAAAAGAGACAACTCACTCATACCGCACAAGTCCCATTCACTTGTAAAAATATTTTATACAAATTTTCAACATTTGAACTACATTGTCATGTGCATGATGTAGATAATGGGCTGCTTCGAAATTGATTTTAAATTGTATTCTAATAAATAATCACCCATGTAATTAAGTATTTAGCAAATTTTTTTTAATAGAGGGGTTTGCAGAAAATTTTTAGTAATGGTTTTGCCTAAAAGGTTGTAGTTCTATACATTGGTTTTTGTTAGTATAATTTATATAAAGAAAACTAAATTAATGCAATGTAATTTAACTAAGTATTAGTACTGTATTTCTATTCAGAAATCTGCTTACGTTGGCATGCAATAGTTTCTCGAAATTTTTGTTAGACTTCTTTATGGTATTAGGTTATTTTAAGATGTTTTTCATTCCACGTTATTGAAATTTCCAATTTAGGATACCAATTTAGACTCATAATCACTATGCACAACCAAACAGGAAAACAAATTCTCTCTAGCTTTTGTTTTATTGATTTAGAATAGCTAGCTTAATCAAGGTCGATAAAATATCCAACTAAGTATACAAATTTAGTTCCAAACCTTATAGGTAATAATTTTCATTTTTGACGACATAACACTAAAATTCCAATACAACCAATTTCAAAACAGACCATTTTCCGCATGCACATCTCCAATTATTGTAACACAAGTTCCACCGAGTCGGTACTACACTCACTACCCAATTGAAAAGTAAAGTTCCCAACGCCACTGGACACTGTTAAAGGTACTCTACGATATCACACTTAATAGCAATGTTCGGGCAAGACGCGATCGCGGCTCCACGCCTCTCCGTGAGCAGTTTTTGAAAGATTGGTAGAATCGCAAGGTCAAGTAGTTCACCCTCTGAGACAGCCCCGGCTAGAACGTTGGGGGTGCTCTGCACATGCGCCGGAGTAGGCTTCTTCAGAGGTCTGTGACAGCACTTGTCACGGTCACGGTTGCGCTCGGAAGCCGTCCTCTGGATCACTGAGACGTCCTCGTCCGATACTGGGGAACAGAGGAGTATTAGATGAGTTTTGATGATGATATAGTAACATATTGACATAAACCAGTCACTAACACTCAAAAAAATCTACTTTAAGTAAGGTCGTGTAAAAAGTCCATCTCGAAGCACTTACCATTTATTTTGGTCAAGTGTGCAGGAAATACTGCAAACTTGGGTTACTAAGCATGGCTCGGGGGACCAAACCTAGGGCTTGATTAAGAGTCTTCACTATTAAATTTGCCTTATAATAAAGGAAATTTAAATGAGTTAGGAGTTATAACGGGGTCACATATTGGTGGAAACAACTATATTGAGTGTTATCAACTGTTATCTTATCTCATTTCGTAATAGGTGGACTGGTGCTGCCCTGGTCAGATCACCTTTAACAACTATTTGTAAAAACCACAAAGGTTAAGTTAGGCTAGGCTAGGTATATACATTGAGTATACCTACCAAACAAAACATACCCATGTCGGAGGGGGGATTTACATGACAATCATTTGAATGGGACAAACTGTATTTATCTATTGAAAACCCCTTTAGCCACTGAATTTTTCAAATGAGCTAAAATGTTGTTGAATACGTGCTTATACTTTTAGACCTCATAAATCACACAGTTGCTTGGAAATTAATAAGGTGGGACAGATATAATTTGCGTACACAGAGGAAATATCTACATTTGTCAGGAACGTGTAAACTAACTTTAAGTTAGGTTCCTGGTCTTAACATTAACAGTGTTCGAACTCCACCAAATGAAATATTCATTTCTTTTGTCACATATCGTATTTAAGAATAAAATAACTAGAGCCTGGATCTTATTAATTTCTTTAATCTTTTATTGCATTGTTAGAAGTAGAAGTAAAAGAGCACACAATTAACTGGAACTGGCTTGAAAATTACTTAAAGTTACTTTAACGTTGAAACACTCTAATGTAATGTAAAGTAAACTCAAACTAATACAACGATAAATACTAAATAGTGAAAAGGACGCGTTTATTTTGACCATTAGCGACATATTATAGGGTCATAACTAGTATTTGAAATTTTACAACATATATAACATGTATTATACATCTATATATATATAAAGGATTTTTCATAATTCTGGATTAAAAACTGAAATTCTAAATTAACATCTATTAATAAGCAAGATTTTTTACGGCATCATAACACCTAGGTACTAAAATTGATCGGGGTATGCAAAACACGACAATATAGTTTGCTCTTCTAATTTATAAAAAAAATTGGAAGAAAGGTATGTAGGCCTACCTTTCTTCCAATTTTTTTACCATTAGTTTTGTATAGAGAGTAAATTAACGCACGCTGATATAGTTAGTTCGTGTGTTTGGAAAGCAACGCAGGTATTACCCCTAAAGCCAAAAAGCAATACCAACATCTCTAGCGTAATAAGCTAGGAATTTCAATAAGGAAAACGTCTAGCTTAACTTCAGCTGAAACCTAATTATCCTTGACAACTTTCATAAGCAATGATTAAATCAACTTCTAGCCTTATTGTTTCAGTACTTTATAGCTCTACGTGAATTTAAAACTTACTTTTATTATCGTGCAAAGTCAGAGATTGCATACTCTATTCTAGCTTAGGTCCTTGTGTTTTAAATTGCCGTCAAATAAATTATGAATTTTGAAAATATCTGTATTAGCAATATTTTTTAAATGGAAAACCCTAAGGTTACTCCTTTTTAGGTGTGTATCTGTTTTACGAACAGTTACTACTTTTATTCGTTTAGTTTTGAACCAAATTCTAAGTTCTAGATAATATGTTTACCAAATGTTCGTTATTAAAGATAAATTTAGGTTGGTACATCGATAGCTTAAAACTGATTCGGATGTAAGTCGGATGTAAGCAAAAGAACATGTTAGTTGAATAAAGTGGGTTCAAGTTCACCACCTAAAAATGTTCAAGGCTTCATTTAATTGTTGCAATGAGCTGCTCTATCTTTTATTCCCACAAACAAGCTTTTGACTATATGGAAGGCATATTCATCAGCTAACTTCTCAAATATACCTTCAGGCGGCGATGCGTTATTGAGCAAACATCTGGGGCGGCAGTGGCGCTGCGTCAGCCACAACTCGTCCTGGTGTACAAACGTGGGGTGAGTGCGGCGGCCGGGCACGCTGGTGCGGCGCGGCGCGGGTGGCGTGTGCAGCAGCGTGGGCGGCCGAGTGGCACTAGAGCGTCGCCGTAGCGCCATGGTGGCTGAGGAGGGTGGCGTTGGCGGTTTCTCCTCCCAGGAAACTGCCTTGTTAGGCGGCGGCGATGGTAACCGCTCTCTCAGTGAACTGCTCTCCGATATCACTGCTAGACCAGGAGACACTGGTACTGAGTCATCCAACGCTATTGCTGGGATCTTACTTCCGAAGGTGGTCTTTTTTCTGGAAAATTCATTATATATACAGTATGTATTTTGTAAAAATTTTTAAAAGTATATTTTAGCTCTGGAGACAATCCATAGATCAACAAGGCTACAATCCATCTAGAAGGCTATCTAGAAGTAGAGTAACAGATTAAATACATTTCTGAGTCACTGTTTGGTGCTATGAGTTGTTTTAAAAACATATCTGTAAACCCCCGGCAGTATTTTATATTCTATCAAGTTCTTTGGTGTTTTGTTTTGTTATGAAATTTTCAGCATACAATTTTTGGGTACGTTCTGTAAGAAAAGGGTTCTTGGGTTTGGAAAATTAATCTTTGACTAATAGATTATACTAAAGACAGTTTAATGTTTCTTAAGTGAAACTAGAAGCTTTTCTGACCCGACCCAATTAACTATTTATTGGCAACGACTCCTATTTTTCTTCATGACACCTCTCTCATATTAGGATATTAAGATGAATAGCAGTACAAAACCTTCATTCCGTGCAGTCCAACTACGTGCAGTTTAACTTTGGCACGAAAAAAATTGATGTAGCTGACCGACGTGGATGGAATGAATACTCTTCAGGAGGTTATTTTGGAAAACTTATTTAATGTAGGTTTTTTACTTCAGAAACTTTTAGTTTTCCCACCTTTGATCATTCAACATACCACAAACACATGTATATCTTACTTCTGCACAGGAGCGTCAATCAGGTTGACATACTCGCCGTCCTGGGAAGAGTTGAGAGAGCACAATGAGCTGACGTCAGTAGTCTCAGTGTGTGAGGGTGCTGATACAGTCAGCCGCGTGTTGTTGGGCTGGGTCAGGTGCTCATCTAGAAATCATCGTCAAGCTCACAGTTCATAATTAAATAAAAATCAATGCGACTCCCTTCCTTAAAAAAGGCTTTTACCGAAACCCCGGATCTGACAGGCCCACGGGAATTTTCACAAACGCATGTTGGCAACACTGTTTACTTGGGGGATTCCATTAACCAAAAACCTTCCCCCCTTTTCCTCCCCTACCTGTTGATATTATATTGTTTGTTCATTTTGCGTGGGTGCCGCGACTTTGGCAGGTCACCTGTTCATAACATGCCCGTCTCAGAAGCCTAGCGTTAGTGTATTTTAAAACGGGGTCTCACAGGCCCAGGGTTTCGGTTTGTGAGTTTCAAAGAGGGGTGCATAATTTTCAAATGGGGTCTGACAGGCCCAGGGTTTTGGTAAAAGTGTTAACATTCTGTTTCTAATGTGGACAATGTCCCAGTCTTGATGAAGGGTATTGAATTCCTTATCGGTTTTTGCGTTTGAAATTGTATTGTCTTTTTTGTCACCAACCGAATGAAAAGTAAATGATAGATTATGTTTGCCTAACAGCAGTGATATTAACGTAACCCCACATTTTAGAAATGTATCAACTATAAAATTATATTTTTCTTCCAATCCAAACATGTCATGTTAGTAACATGTTTGGCTGTGTCATAAATTACATACATTATTGAAAAATTTGATTTACTTACCATCTCGCCTAAGCTGGCCTACGTCCTGCTGTGGAGGCGCTAATCTAGTCTCGTCTGAACCCATTCGTCTCAGGAGAGCTTGAAGTTCAGCTTCCCGTTCCAACAAGATCTTTCTACATCTTTGATTTTGATTCTTTGCATCTCTCAGTCTCTCTTCCAGTTCCGAAGAGTCTCTTCTTTTGGTCCCCATCGGTTTGAGAGTGGCCCTGATACGTTTGTCGATAGCACCCTGAGGGTTTCTTTTTAATTCTACCAACTGTGGGAAATGTAGACTAAATTAGTTTACAGACCCAATAAAGCAGGAGTAAAAGTGAGTAAGTTTCAGTCCCAGCATTTTGGGAATATATCACTAGCGTAAACTATTTCAACAATTTTAATGAAAATGTATAAAAACCATAGTCACCTATAAATAAAATCCAGAGCAAATAGATACATTTAAAAAAGTGTAAAATATGTGCTTGCCTTCATTTATGGATTTTGATAAAGCCCTGCTATGAAAACGTTAATATCATTATCAAAAATTATTCAACTCTTTAAGGGCGGGTTTGACACTAACTACTCCTAATATAGTAAAAAACAAATAGTTCCTCGATATCAATCCTTGTCACAAAATCTGCCAACCCCTAACAGCAGTTTACAAAAGAACAAATTCGCAAAAAGTTAAAAAAATCTGTTAGTGGAAAAATCAGATTGTACTTTCCTGCTTTACCTTTGGCACAAAAACAAGGCAGAGGGTGGTGGTGGTGCAGAAGATGATGAAGATGGAGACCATGACGAAGGAGGCGTCTTGCTGGTCGGAAAGCACGAAGGAGATGGCGGCGCCCATGACACACATGAGGACAACGTTGTAGACGCTCATGCCGACGTACTTTGAGTCGTTGAGCGCGGGGATGCTGACATGACGTGTCTCCCATGCCAGGAACGCGCCGAATATCTGCGACATGATCATGTATCAAACATGCTGCAAGATGCTATAATGACAATATGGTTCATCCTCAGCTAATGTGATATTAGAGTCTTAAGGGCCGGTTTCGGAGCTCGGGACTAACGCTATTCCTGGACTAAAATCCAGTTCAAACCAGTTTTTATTCTAGGACTAAAAAATCGGGTTTCGGAGCTCCAGGATTATGCTAGTCAACGACTAAGTCTATTCCGAGAGTTACATAGTCCCTGAATTACTCTCATGGGTTTTGGAGTCACGGGCTACTTAATCCTCGAATTAAATGTTATTCGATCGGGTTTCGGAGCCAAATATATAATCCACAACTGGGCAACAAAGACTAACTCGAGGAATAAATATGAGCAATTTTTAGTCCAGGTGGAGGGCAGGATTAAGGGGCGGACTAACTTAACTTTTGGCGTAAATACTCAATTTGTGAAGTTGTATCTATATAAATGTCAAATTCTTAATCGGCATAAAATTTACTGGCAATTTCATTCCTCTTGATATTTTTCCTTAAAATTTTATTTTTCTCTTAAGTATATATGCAAAATCATCTTTGAATGAAACCCGTTTATCTACAATTTATGCTCAAGACTATAATAGGCCAAACGGTCCCAAAAATTAATATTAAAAGGTACTAAACGTAGATTTTAAAATAATAATATAACGAAGACAGAAAGAAAAACCTAACTGTATGAAAAAAATAATATAGGGCCTATCAAATCTAAATACGTATTTAATACGCGGTACATAATGTTACATAGGGTTACATGCATTTAAATGGTCCATTTTAACGAGTTTTTGGGGACGTTGGTTTAACCGGAAACCCCGTTATTCGGACTGGCCTCGGCACTGAGGAGTCCGGATAGTCTACTGTAATGCAGTATTTTACTAAGGAATACTTTTAACCAAAATTAACAGTATGCCTAACGAAAAAAGACTTCTGTATGAGGATTATTTTCAATTGAAACTCATATCTAGTATAATAATTTGGAATTTGGTTAAATAACAAATATTTCAGCCGTGAGCTAACTCGGATAACCTGGAGTCTCAGATAACCGGAGCTCAGATGATTGGAAGTTAACTGAAGTTGCTTGGACACCTACTTAATCTCTACTACATATTGTACTTCCAGATGAATTGTTAAAATCCAAAACAATCAGAGAACACAAATACATACTAAGCAGATAAATTATAACTATGCCTACTCTTAGAGCGTTAAACCAACAAATTGTTGTAATAATGATAATTTTGTACGGTTGATTTGCATTCAAAGAATAATAAAATATTTCCCTTTATTTTTTTATCATCATACAGTATTCATTTCAAAATAATTGTAAGACCTTAAATAGACAATTATTGGGGTTTGCATTAGGATTACAAAAGTCGCAACCAATCTCTAATATCTCAAATGCCTACAGTTTTTAGATTCTCATAAAAAAATAACTTGGACAAAGTAAAGGCATAGGCTAACACATTTGACACCTTATTCTTCAATCGGGAAGTTTTTTTTATCAAACTTAACAGCAATAAATAAACCTTCAGGTTTTTTTTTTTGTAAATGATGGTTCACATAACTGGGTTTTTATTTCGGCATACGTTTTTGAACACGATATCTTCTTTTAGTTACCATCTTCAGTGAAACTCAAGGAATCATTATCCCAACTGATAAGTGATTAGAACCAGACTAGAGAGTAGACACTAATGTAGCTATGAGCGCTGACCGTGAACAACTTTGGCAGGTATCGTCTTAAATTCGTCTGTCCGCTGCCCCTACCACCACTCAAAAACTAAAATTCCCCGTGATTCCTACCTTAGTCCTAGAATAAGTAGTCCAGAAGTTGGCGAATAAAGTTAGTCTCCGAATAGACTAGTCCGCGGACTAGGGAGTTAGTTCGCGAGCTCTGAAACCCGATTTTTTATTCGATGACTAACTTTATTCACTGATTAAGTAACTCCAGGATTACGTATTCCCGAGCTCGGAAACCCGCCCTTAAGTGTCGTATACTCAAATTCTACAGTGTTGAGGTACTTAGGGCGGGTTTCCGAGCTCGGGAATACGTAATCCTGGAGTTACTTAATCAGTGAATAAAGTTAGTCATCGAATAAAAAATCGGGTTTCAGAGCTCGCGAACTAACTCCCTAGTCCGCGGACTAGTCTATTCGGAAACTAACTTTATTCGTCAACTTCTGGACTACTTATTCTAGGACTAAGGCAGGAATCACGGGGAATTTTAGTTTTTGAGTATTGGTAGTGGCAGCGGACAGACGAATTTGAGACGATACCTGCCAGTGCCAAAGTTGTTCACGGACTGCGCTCATAGCGACACTAGCGTCTACTGTCTAGTCTGGTTCTAATCACTTATCAGTTGGGATAATGATTCCTTGAGTTTGACTGAAGATGGTAACTAAAAGAAGAGATCGTGTTCAAAAACGAATGCCGAAATAAAAACCCTGTTATGGGAACCATCATAAAAAAAATAAATAAAAAAACTGAAGGTTTATTTATTGCTGCTAAGTTTGATAAAAAAAAAAAAAAACTTCCCGATTGAAGAATAAGGTGTCAAATGTATTAGTATATGCCTTTACTTTGTCCAAGTTATTTTTTATGAGAATCTAAAAACTGTAGGCATTTGAGATATTAGAGATTGGTTGTGACTTTTGTAATCCTAATGCAAACCCCAATAATTGTCTATTTAAGATCTTACAATTATTTTAAAATGAATACTGTAGGATGATAAAAAATAAAGGGAAATATTTTATTATTCTTTGTTACTTTGTATGAAAATCAACCGTAAAAAATTATCATTATTACAACAATTTAAGAGTAGGCGTAGTTATAATTTATCTGCTTAGAATGTATTTGTGTTCTCTGATTGTTTTGTATTTTAACAATTCCTCTGGAAGTACAATGTGTAGTAGAGAATAAGTAGGTGTCCAAGCAACTTCAGTTAACTTCCAATCATCTGAGCTCCGGTTATCTGAGAATCCAGGTTGTCCGAGTTAGCTCACGGCTGAATTTTCTTTTTTACCCAAATTCCAAATTATTATACTAGGTATGAGTTTCAATTGAAAATAATACTAATACATAAGTCTTGTTTTGTTATGCATACTGTTAGTTTTGGTTAAAAGTATTATTTAGTAAAATATTGCATTACAGTAGACTATCCGGACTCCTCTGGACCGAGGCCAGTTCGGATAACGGGTTTTTCGGTAAAACCGACGTCCCCAAATACTCGTTAAATGGACCATTTAAATGCATGTAACCCTATGTAACATTATGTACCAAGCGTATTAAATACGTATTTAGATTTGATAGGCCCTACATTAATTTTTTCATACAGTTAAGTTTTTCTTTCTTTCATCGTTATATTGTTATTTTAAGTTCTACGTTTAGTACCTTATAATATTAATTTTAGGGACCGTTTGGCCTATTATAGTCTTAAGCATAAATTGTAGATAAACGGGTTTCATTCAAAGATGGGTTTGCTTATACTTAAGAGAAAAATAAAATTTTACGAAAAAATATCAAGAGGTATGAAATTGCAAGTAAATTTTATGCCGATTAAGAATTTGGCATTTATATAGATACAACTTCACAAATTGAGTAATTACACCAAAAGTCAAGTTAGTCCGCCCCTTAATCCTGCCCTTCGCCTGGACTAAAAATTTTCCATATTTATTCCTCGAGTTAGTCTTTGTTGCCCAGTTGTGGATTAAATATTTGGCTCCGAAACCCGATCGAATAACATTTAATTCGAGGATTAAGTAACCCGTGACTCCGAAACCCATGAGAGTAAGTCAGGGACTAGTTAACTCTCGGAATAGACTTAGTCGTTGACTAGCGTAATCCTCGAGCTCCGAAACCCGATTTTTTAGTCCTAGAATAAAAACTGGTTTGAACTGGATTTTAGTCCAGGAATAGCGTTAGTCCCGAGCTCCGAAACCGGCCCTTAGAATCGTTGGCCTCAGTGATTTTGGTATCAAATCCACCCAATACCGTTTTGACACTTTGAAGTTTAATGATTTAATATAGCAAATTGCATTAAGAAAGGTTGCGAGACGAAAGTGACAAAAGGGGGTGAAAGGAAGGTCTTTTGAGTGATTTGGAAACTCAAAAGGTGAAATAAAGAACTTCAGCTTTAATGTGAAACCCAATATAAAAACTTTTAGAAGGTATTGTATATCAAGCTGTAATTTTTTAAAAGAAATTCAAGGATTATGCTAACCCTATGAAAAGGATGAATTAAAACTTAAACTATATTTTTTTGGAATGTTATGTATCATTTTTACTAACGATATTAATGTAACATAATTAATTTATGTTTAGACCATTCACTGATGGAAAGATGCTCTAGCCGGTATCAAATAAATGAGAATTCAAGATCAAAATAATTAATTCCATCTTCATATTTAATAGGTCATGTTGTTCATCTAAAAGCAACAAATTTTATTTACTGTAAATTAGAAGTTTTGCTTTGGAATGGAATCGTATTAAAATGGAATCCTTGTGTACCATACCCTCGTATATTCATAATATTATGGTGTTTTTAAAAGTCACAGCTCATTGAATCCTAATTATACATGAGTAATTATGTTAATTGAACTGAAAACAGAAATGTCAAAGTTGACGTACCATGAGCAGCCCCTTATAAGCGTAAATTGAACCGACGAAGATTGTCATGCGATTGCTTTGGCAGTATTCATTCTCCGGAATTATAATGATGTCTTCGCTGTTCGGGTGCGACTGAAACAAACAAGTTTCTTGAAAATAATCATTTCGTTAATATTCTCACCTAAACGTGTAGCACATGACGGATGTACAGTAGGTATGAAAGTGTACCTAGTTTTGATAATAAATTGAATAATTTTATTCTCTTATGTTTATTTGAGAAATCTGCTGTTCTATACCCTAATTATTACTGACAATGACTACAAACTATTACAGTAATAGTAAAACGTTAGGAGTTATTTACGTTAGGAGGTTCCTACGTTTTTGGATACGTATTTTATCTTGAAATAATCATGGTGAATTTTTAGTTAAATTCGTGTACTTTAACATCGTTCAAAATGTTAGAGTTTTTTACATGAGTTTCTTTTTCCAAGCTTAGAATATTTAAAAAAAAATCTGTCTTTAATAAAAAAAATTAAAAACACTACTCTTACGGTATGATTTAAAAGCTATTTTAGAAACTAATTTTTTTTATTAAATCCTTTCATTGATAATGAAAACAAATTTAAAATTAGAATAAAAAGTATAACATATAGTTTACAACGTATTCAAGTACAATGAAACGACCAATAAAAATAAGGCTACAGACCTATTACACTAGCAATTTAATCAACTAAACACTTTTATAAAATCAGATTCTATGTTTTAATCATCAACTTGGTTGTAGAGTTATCTAAAATACCAAATCCCTTGAATAAGACTGCTTTAAAACATGTAAAAGTCGATTAGCAACAGTTCACCTTTTGCATGTAGACTTTACTCACGTAAGGTTCCATCTGTTTGGTGTCCCGGTAGAAAGGATCTGTGACTTGCCACGTGGTCATAATACCCATGTCAATGACAAGTAGCACACCAACAACCATAAACAGCTGATAGTCCTTGATCACCTAGAGTGAAAAAGCTGGTTAAAGACATTACACAGGCTGACCTTTTTATAACAAGTATCACATCAACCACTAATCAGATCGGTTCAGGTAGTAAGACCTTGGTCATCAACAATGAAACAGCTGGTTAAGGACAAAATAAAGGTTGTTTTGTTTACAGGTATCTTTAATACATCTCTATTATCAGATAACAATTATTAATTGCCAGAATAAAACATCTAGTCGAAAACCAAACACAAGATGTGTCGTTTTGATAAGTAGTTTTCTAATATTTTGATCAACTGATACTTACAATACCTCAAGCAATCAATCAGTTAATTAAAAAATTTTCCTGATATATGAGAAAGGAGTCCATAACTATGAGCATCTACATAGTTAAGTAATCTAATTTCTAAATGACATAAATCCTAGCTATTTGCAAGATCAATAATACACTATATGTATGCCAATAAGATGATACAGTAAAAACGGAAGACGGTAAAGTAAAACAGTAAATATTATCAATCAAAGTTGAAATATTGTATCTCAAATAGGTTACTATCAATGATCGAAAATCCTAATAAAACCGGATAACAAACCACAATCCCTAGTTGTTTAGGAAAATGGACCTTTTACTGCAACGAGTAGTAAAGTATTATTAGGTTGACCATTAGTAACGTAACTGGTGCTAATAGTGAATTTCAGAACACGTATCTCCCCTAGACATATATAGTATTATCTAAAAAAAATATGCAACAAACTATGTTAGAAAAACAAACGAACCAAAAATAGTTTCATTACTTTTGCCAAACTAAGTAAATCCGGTTATTCACAGTAAGGTTTTGTGCATAGATACATTACAAGGAATTATAAAGGAGTTTAGGAATGATTAAGTAGGTCATCAACTGACAGTCTGTTAATGGTTCTCGTCTAACAGATTTTATCAGTTCGTGTGACACAGGGGTATAACGGATAATCAATAACCGTTTACTGACTAAATCATAAGACATGCTACTACAGTTGCCAGCCGTTTAGGTTTTTATTCATAGTTGAATAGTTGGTCATTCGAGTCTTTGCAATTGAGGTGAAAAATTAAACCATCTTGAATTGTAATGTTTACTAAAGATCGTAGGGGTTACTAGAGATACTATTATAGCATGTTATATATACATATCTCACCGCAAAACTATGTTAACCATTTATCTTAAAAAAAAAGTATCTTGTAAATTTACGAATTATAAACAACCCACCCTAGTTTGGAAACTGGTTGATCAAAAAAAAGCTATGATATAACAATTTAGCATAAATACAATGATATGCCTTTTTGAAATCTGGACCATCTGCATAATAACTATAACTCAAAACTGTAGTAGAAAGACCGAAAGACCTGAAATAGCATCGCCTTGAATACAGGATAAAGTACCATTTAAATTATTGTAATATTCAGTCTTTTTGTTTGGATTATATATTCTATTTAGATTCAATTTTCATTGGTTAGAATATTTATAAGGTTTAAAACGCCCCTTTAGGATCCGTAGTGATGTTACAATAAAACATAAAAGTGATACATTTGCCTATTTTAAATTTAGATTTCAGAGAAGCATAACTGCATAAAATTGTTTATGGAACAATTTAATAACAAATAAATACCAACAGGTACAGAAATAAAAAATGATGTATACATGTAATATTTGATCAAAAAATTAATTACTGAGTGGTTTCATTAACAGTCATTGATGTAAGAGTTCCACAGTTGAAATCGTGTATAAGAAGAATAATTCTTACCTTTTTGTTTAGCTTGACGTCGGTGAATATCGAGTGTACCCGCCACGTTTTGGAGAACATGGCACCAAAGGCCAGGGAGAAGCCCGCCATAAGCAGCCAGGCGCGTGCAGTACAGATGTAAGGGAAGGCATGCTCACTGGTCAGGCGGGAGTCCATACCGAGGAAGATAACACTGCTGTACGTCAGCATGCATCCGACGATGATGAGGTTGTTCAGGTGCGGTGACGACATCTTGATGTACCTGGTCCGCAAAAGTAATAGTTGAGCAAACAGTCTCTGCATTTCAAAGTAAGGTGTCTTACGAGTGAGGCTCTCATTTATCTTTAAGTTTCCTAGCATTTATAAGCTTACAGTAAAGTTTCGTAATTTTATAGGGTTATAAATCCTAACTATTTATCATGGCCTTGTAACCTCCTGAAATCAATACTCACATTCAACAGGGTGCTCGCCCCTAATAAATTTAATGATGCTGGTCTAAAGTGTTTCCTTTCAAATACCATGTTTTTTATACGTGTAAATCACTGTTTGCACTTAAGTTTTTTAAATGTAAAGGATAGTGCAATAAAATGGTACTAGATCCAACATGTTGATAAAGTTGATATTTATCTCAATTAAGTATAGAATTGCAAGAAAATTATTTAAAAACCGTACGTTGCGTGACATATAACACCTTTCATAAATTTGATCGTCCGTATCCAACAAATTCAAGAAGTGTTACACGCTAGTAATACTTATTTTCTTCAAACTCATAAGCTTACGTTATCATGATATTTTCCCTGATACACCTTTTTCAAGGTTGATTCTTTTGCAAGTCTATATTTTTATGTTAAATTTTAGCTTAAGCCAAAACATCCCGTACCTCTGGTTGCGATACTTGATGTTGATGGCGAGGAACACCGCTGCCATGATGATGCCACAGGACGCAGTAGCTGCCAGAGAAGCGTAGATGGCCAAGTTAACATGTGAGTGCTCGAACTGTTGTAGAGTCCTGTCTTTAGGAGGTCCTCTGCCATCCCGCCACCAGATACCCTGGCCTTTACTCAGGTCAAGCTGTTGAGTCACGCCGTTGAACTCACCTATCTTCACCTCTTCCCCGTCTGGAAAAGTAAATTTCATAATGTACATTTTAATGTAAGAGGCGACGATAGAAACTTTGTAACTTAGTGAATCTACTATTCTAATGATTTTATAGTTTCCATGTAATACTAAAATTATTATCTACTTTTAACGTAGTTCTAATGGATTTTCTAAATTTACTTTTTCAAATTTAAACACCCAAAATGAAGTCATGTGTGAAAGTAAATTACACAAAATTAACAAGAAAACAGTTAAGCTGTTATTTGGTATACCCATCTTCATTGAACTTAAAAAACTGTGTAAACAAGTACTGTTAGGTGTTTTCAAAACAGAGATTGATATATTTAAAAAAAATACGTAAGAATTTATGAGTCAAACGCATTATTTTGTTTGGTGAAAGCTTATAATTCACTTTTAAAATGTTTTATTAATATTAAAATCTTACCTCACTGCACACGGTCTACTTTTGCAAAGATTGTTTGGTATTTGATCAAAATATAAAAATCAATTATAAACTACTTGAAACAATTAATTAAAACTATTTTAGCTTTGTTACAGAAAATTGGCAACTAAATTCTAATATATAGCATTAAAATCGCACACACACGAGAACGTACTTTGGTACTGTTTCAACATGATGTTGGCTTTTCTCTCGTTGTCGTAAAACCGCACAGGCCCCTGTAACAGAAGTTTCATGTTATGACAAATAGTTAATACTCCAATTGTAATATATTCAGTATGATTTATTATAAAATATCTTTCTTCATATATTGTGCTATAACGAGAACCGTTAATTCTAATTAGATCTGTATTACAAGCTTATACGTATTAAATACCTTGAAAAGTTAAATATTTTAAGTTAAAATTCTATATAGCAAGCCTATTTATAATGATTGATCTTAAGTAACTTTGAAATAAATGTGTTTATGAAATAAAGTTTATACAGTAAACCATTGTTCAAGATACAACAACGCAATCTATAAACGTTTTAACTAGCACGTATTTCAATATCGTATGAATAGAAACCTTGTTAAAAGTCATCCAAGAAAGTAATTACAATTTTCATTTAACCGTTGAGTGTCCCTTTTCACAAAACACCGTTTAGTTGTTCGCGTTTGTTTAACATTGACAACAGCTAATTGCAGGCTAGTAATTTCAGGTTGCCGCGACGGTGGATAACGAATTGTTTTCACTTCCTAATTACTAATTTAAATGCATTGCACTTTATCTATAATGGCTTTGTTGTTTTTTACTGGGAAAATATGGTGGTTAACAGTGTTAACAGTGTGTTTGAAACCGAGGTTAAAATAATGGGACTAAATTCAGTCTGTAGATTTTAAATATATTATTGTTTTATCTTTCTGTCTAAACATTGGTTGTATGCTGAAAAGGTAAATGCTACACATACTTTGGACTTATATCGAACCTTTTCCAAAGAAATTTTACAGTAATTAACTTCTGCTTTAATTTCTGCTTTACTTAAGGGCACGATTTTTATATTATCTTCGAGTGAACATCGAGTGCAATTTTGACTAAGATAAAGTCATAAATATCTTACGTATTTCTCTGACGTATTTTGTCATAAATATCATCGTATACGTATTTTAGTACCAACGAGTAAATTTGATTGTTTATACGAAACTGGTGCTCTGAGTCTGCCGTTTGAGATACATGGTTTAAGGGTGCCGTTTACATGGCGAATCTGGCATTGAAGTAGTAATGTACTTACGGTGACTCCCTCAAAGCTGGTGTTCCGCAGAGCCTCCAGAAACAGCTGTTCCCACACCGGGTCCCGGTACTGGAAGTCTATGACGGTTGTGTTCTTCCTCACGTGACGTATCCTGTGCGCCACATGCTGGATGGCCAAGGCGGTCGCCCAGATTCCGTCGTACGTGTACCCGTGGAACCGCGAGTACTCCTGGCCTCTCCGAGAGTCGTACTCTTGCCGGTATTCGTCTGCGGTCTGCAGCAAAACATGGGGACGGTTATTTGATCGTCTAAAGGTTTGTTTGAAATGCCCATAGGCATAAACAACATAAGCCCAACCTAGCCTTTACCAATACCCAATCTTACCAAACCTAACCCAACCTAAACTTACCTTACTTAACCTTACCTAACCTAACATAACCCAAGCTAACCTAAACGAACTTAACCATACCTAACGCCAAGGTGACATAAAACAATGGTGAACCTGTAAACGACTAACGCAAAAGCGTTTGCACTAATTGTAAAACAAAATTGTATGATTAATTTATTTTTTATTTACCAAGCAAATAAATCCTTGAATCCATAAAAAGTAGGCTAAAATTCAGTCTTAATAACCATTGCAAGCCTTTTAAAAATACGTTCCATGCAAGCAGATATTTTATGAAATGTTTATTTATTTATTTTTTTACCCTACAGCTTTTTACATGGATACATATGTGTGGGTAGCACATGTAGTAGACAGTGTCCAAACGAAGCCATAAATTACACACCTGTTATAGCATACATTAAAAAACCGTGATCAACTGAAAACGTACTATTAATGAAATACAAACAGTAAATTAAATAGCAAATTTACACTTTTTTACTCATATTCTACATACAAACTCGTCACCAACTCGTAATAAATGTTCTTAAAAGATTATCTGTATTAATTAATTGGCAATCTTGTAAACATTAGGCTCTCCCAGCATACTAAAAAAACTTCTAATATTACTACAGAATATGACATAATTTGAAATTACAGCAACATTTTTAATAGATTTACTATTCGTCCCTGAACTATTATTCAAAATTATTACAACAATTCGATACCTAAAATCTGTATATAAAAACATTATTTCAAATTACACTATCATTTCTCACTGACAAAAGTAGACTTTTTCTCTGGGATGTAAATAAACGTCTCTTTAAGCCGTATTTCCCTCAGGGCCAAACACAAAAAGTCCCGGTCTCTCCTCCACGCCGCACATTGCATGATTTACGAGTTACGACTCTAAGTAGTTGTTAATCATTCTGAATAAAGGATGGGAAAGAGGTAAAAACAACTGGAATTTCCGAAAGGTTTAACTACATGTAACACTTTTGAAGAATTATTTTTACCATGTAAAGATTTTATAGTAGCAACTTTAAAATCAACACAGCCACCACTTGTATCATTGTAGATTTTATAAATATTTATTCAACCAATAGATTATTCAATTATAAGCCAATACTTATACTTTATAGACACATATTTTTATCTTAACAGTAAAATTAGAGGAATACTAAATATTCAACATGTTAATAAAGAGGACGATTACAAGAACAAATAGTATCCATAATTTTTTTTAAGGGGACACGTTTTTATTTGCTGATATAGTAGACACTCAAATTCGTTTTTAAAGACATAATTTTGTCTATGATATTTTAAGAATGGTCAATATAATGTTGTGGCTAACCTAGATAAGCATTGGGGGCCATAACGAAAACAGAAGTAGGATTTCAAATAGTGAAATAGACTATAGTGTTATTTATAAACGTGTTTTTATACGCTTAGATCTAAGTTTTGTCCAATAAAATTTGTTATAATGAAATAACATAATGTAAACAAATACGATTACATTTTGCAGCATTGTTTGAGGTCTATGAACCATTTATCGACTTAAGTCTTCATATTTTTTGCCAAGTTCATAAAATAGAGTTTTACAAAAGTGTACAATATTTGTAAATTCTTTAAATACACTAGGAAGCTGCAGTTTTACATAATTAACTTATAATAACGCACAGGTAAACTTTTTAGATGGGTTATGTCATTAAGGTTAAATCTTTTAGGTTATGATATTTTCTTACCGGTTGTTAACTAAACCGGATCAGCGGCTGTGGTTGGTGTAGAAATGACAACTGTGATCAGCTGATTAGCGAGCTGGAATGATCCATTTGTGCTCTAGAGTGGCAATGAGCTATTTTGCGTACTGTTTAAAGGTATGATAAAGTAAAAATATGTAAATAAAAGGCAATGTGATCATTTCCACGCAGTTGTAGGAAAATATTATTTTACACCGTAGTGCATTCTGTGAGTGGATTTTTGAGCTACGTTTTTTTATGACGATTTGCTACAGCTGGTCAATATAGGACGGCTACTTCAGTATCCAAACAATATTACTCACAATGCCTGAGATGGTGATCTCGCCACTGGTAGCTAGGGGCAGCAGATCGGTGAGTATACAACCCTCCAGAGCCGCCTGTAGCTGGTCCAGCGGGCAAGGAGCTGTCTCGTCCAGCCACCACCGTTCACTGTAGGTACCCATGATCAACCACTGGTACTTCCGTCCAACCATCCCCACTCTGTTAGACAAAGGCAACTAATGAAGGAAACTTTATAATTTATTAATAACGTCACCAAGAAAAAGAGTATGCGAATTTTCTTTGACTAATTACATTTTCACATAGATATTTCCTTATAAATGTCGGATTTATTCCCTAAAAAAATATTAGGTTTGAATACTTCGGTGTGTTACCTTCCATGATAACATGGGTTTTTATTAAAATGCCAAAAGCATTGTAAAATGAGATCAAAATGTATCCTCAATCAAGCCAACTAATACATTTTACTCATTCTCATTAGAAATGACGTGGGAATTTTAATTTAAAGGTTTTTCTAAAAAAAGGAAAAAAATGTGCGTACAGCTAGGCTTAGGTTTCAAGGCTAAATTATAAGTTTTCTAAGGTCTACAACATGATATAGAAGTTTGTTGCAAAATTGTGTGAAGACTGCCCCCGGAAAACTACCCCCCCCCCCCCCGAGGAGGGTTTCGTTGTCATACTGTTCTAAACTATCATAACCAACCAACCAAACTTGCTGTAACATTTCAAAATTCTGTATGATATTCCCTGGATGCCTTTTCTGTTATCAAACAGAATGACAAGAATTAAAATTACAATTACATAGAATCACATTTTGCTAGGGGGGGGGGGTAGTATTCCAGTCGCGGACACGGCTCCCATATTTCGTGACGTCACGTTTCATCTGTGGGGGGAGGGGTTTCCGGGGGATAGTATTCCGCATCCCCGGACAAACCACTGTTTACACATTTATCCCAAATTACACATCAAATTTTTACTCAAATTATCGTGTTAATGAACACGTATATAAATAAATTCAATCGGTCCTGGGACTAGGTCTTATACCATGAGACCAACGATAATACTGTAGGCCTAGTTTATTCCTTATGGGAAATCCCTAAAAGTTATGACTTAAAAAGTTGATAGAATCTTTCTTGTCAAATGTTTCTAACTGCGAACATGTTGCATTGTACATGTAAGATTAATTTTACTACGGCAAAGAAATACTTAAAGTCATATTGCTCATAGAGTTCCCAATACGAAATACACCATCACCTAAATAAAATACAAGTTTTCTCATTGGAGTACAAACTATCGGTTCGAGACATTATCACAAATCCAGAAACCATCGGTGATCAATATTGTGGCATTAAACAGGTCACTGCTGACAAGCAGTACCGTGTTTTATTCATTAGATTATTTAGATTATTAGTCTCACTTAGAGCAAATGAATAAATACATTATTCCAGCCTAAATTAGAGTATTGCCTGATTATCTGGAATAAGTTACGATTCAAAACAGTCTATTCAATTTTTATTTCATCACCAAACAACAATTACCTTCCAAGAAATGTCTGGGCCTTGAGTTTAAACTAAGTTTAATTTTATTTATACAGTTAGTAGACATTGCTTACATAAACATCCATGTAAATACGTGCACAACATTTCAAAGTAAATATTGATTATGAACGCGTTGGTGAACATGTTTGAGTGGATTTCCGTTGCTATTGACATACAGTTTAGAGCTATAATATTAAATATTCGCCACTAGCATAGTTAAACACTTTAATTAACATAAATACAATTCGTGTTATTAAATATTACGTGTTTTTGTAGTAATTAACAAACCTGTAAGCTTCACAGAATATCGCTCTCGCCCAGCTCTCGTTGAAGTTCCCGAGGATAATACGAATGTCCTTCTCCTGTAACTTCAGGATAGCAGAGGCAACTTCGTTGGCAAAACTTTGTGTTTCCGCTATCGTGAAGTTCATCGAGTCCAAATCCGCAACTAGGCGATTGTGAGCCTGTTAAAAATCAGCAATCATTTAGGTTGATGAAAACTAGTAGACCTATCTATTCTATATATAATTCAGTTTTAAAAATATTTGTACAACTAAATCTAGAGTTCTACTGGACCGATTTTATTAATTAATGGGTCGTTGGAAAGCTTAGGTCGTGTAGATTTGCAAATAATTATGAGAGTTTGTTTTTATTATGATCTATGGTGAAAATTTTCAAAAAAACATGTTTTCCATAAGAAATACATTGAAAACGGTGTTTTTCACACTTTTTATTTGGGTGCGACTTTTAGCTGCCTTTTTTTAGTGTTTCCAAGAAGTGTATGATATCAATTTGTAGGAAATTTTATTCTCTTTCAGAATATCACCTTCCACTTTGGTCGATTTCCTCACCATTTAAAAGTTATTTGCAAAAAAGCTAAGCAACCTCCGAATTTATAATAATGAGAAAATATTGAGTTTGGGATATTTTTGTTAAACTTTGTACAACTAAATCTAGACTTCTACCGGACCGATTTTGTTAATTAATGAGTCATTGGAAAGCCTTACTCATGTAGATTTGCAAATAATTATGAAAAGTTGATTTTATTTAATATTTGTGGTGGAAAAATAAAAACAAAAATACATTAAAAACTGTTTTTCAGGTTTTTATTTTCAAGTTTATTTTTGTAGCCAGCTTTTGGCTGCCTTTATTAAATAATTTCAAGAAATACACACAAGGTATTTGTAGGAAATTTTATCTTCTTTCAGAATATCACGTGCATTTTCTACGATTTACTCACTATTTAAAAGTTATTGTCAAATTAGATAAGTGACCTCCAAATTTTTAGTTGTTAAAAATACTGAATTAGGGATATTTTTGTTAAACTTTGTACAACTAAATCTAGACTTCTACTGGACCGATTTTGTTAACTAATGTATTGTTTGAAAGCCTAATTTGTGTAGATTTGCAAATAATTATGAAAGTTAGATTTTATTAAATATTTGTGGTGAATAAAGAATAAAAAGCAAAAATACATTAAAAACTGTTTTTTTTTTATAGTTAATATTTTAAAATTTCAATTTATAGTTAACTTTAGGTTGCCTTTTTTGAATATTTACAAAAAAACGCCGAAGAGTACTTTGTAGAAAATTTTATTCTCTTTCAGAATATCACCTTCCACTTTGGTCAATTTCCTCACCATTTAAGAGTTATTTGCAAAAAAGCTTAGCAACCTCCTAATTTATTGTGGTGAGAAAATATTGAATTGGAGAGATTTTTGTTAACTTTCTACAACTAAATCTACAGTTCTACTGGACCGATTTTATTAATTAATAGGTCAATAAAATCTGTGTAGATTTCCAAATAATTAGTAAAGTTTGAGTTTTATTTATTTATGGTAGTAATACATTTGTCGGTATGAATAATCTAAAAATCTTTATGGTAGTAATAATGGGCTAGCCAGTATGCATCATCTGATCATATGGAACACATGTATTAACCTATAGTTTAACAGCTGATTGTTTTATTGTTATTTCCTTGATTTTTCTTTGTTTACATTTAGTTGTTTACTATTTGAATTGGTGGTTGAGGTCCGTAAAGTGTGTTTCTAAAGTGATATTTTTAATCTGTACCATTAATAAGTATTTGGTAAGTTAAGTAAGTTAAGTTAAGTTAAGTGATTTCATAACCAAAAATAATAATTTTAAACTGTCAATTATAAATTATTCAAATTTAATTTATAATTCACAGTTTAAAATAGTATTTAATATTCGTTATTTTGAACTGTTAATTATAAACTAAATATTTTACATTAGTTGAAAAATGAATAACTTTACTCTTCACTACATGGTTGGTGATGGAAACTGTTTCTTTAGAAGTGTCTCATTGTTATGCCATAAATCTCAATCCAGATACAGTGATATACGATCCACGGTAGTTGATGAAGTCGTCAATAACTGGGACTACTATTGTCCTTTGATCGTAGGGGATAAGACATATAGACTAGAAGTAAAAAACGCGACGGAATACAGAAATTTGATGACCAAAGATGGGGAATACGCCGGTAATGTCAAAATCGAAGCTGCAGCAAGAGTTTTTGACTGCCAATTTAAAATATATGCTGAGAAATTGGATTATTTTGTAACGGTTGGTGAAGGCACAACGATCTATAAACTACGATTCTCGGGAAATGTGGATGCTGGGCATTACGATGTTTTGATAGAACAATAGTATGCCTGAGAATCAAGAGGATATAATCTTACCAAAATCAAAACGTGGCCGTGCATCAAAAAATAGAAAAAGTAAAACATGTTCTGGCAGACGTGAATCAACAGCTCATAAAAATAAATTGAAGCAATATCAAGGGTTAAAAGATTTGAAGACATAAAAATTAAAATTATCCCTGGCAAAGAACAAGGAAGATTATTAAAACAATCAGATGAAGTCTTTACAAAGAATTTTGTTTACAAAGAAATACTGTAAATAAAATATTTTTGTAAAATTTTATTTGTTTTTCATTATTTTACTCTTTTAGAAAATCTGTTTATTTTCTAAACAATTTCATTCTTTAAAAATAATTGTTCAGATACTTACGAGGGCATATATTATGTACTACTGTACTTTCTAGGGACCGTTGTATTTAACTACAACGGGCTCTGTTGCTAGTTTAAGAATAATCATGTGTGTGTAATTATATCCATATAAATGTAAATATTATAAATTTTCTGACTTACCAACGAGTAGCGGGGCTCGTTTTGATAGATGGTACCCACTCTGTTCCAATTGAAATGCTGGGCGAGTTTTAATCTTGGAAGGTTGAAGGCGTTTTCGCTAGGCACCACACGGAAAAAGTTAGGGAAGTTATGGCTAGTGAACATCGGATGTGTGTCAGCGTACGACAGCTAGAAAAAAACATCAAATAATAATTCAATATCACATCCAAATTTTTCTTGCACAATATCCTAAGAACCGTTCAAGATACATTTTACTAAAAGCTGTTAACTTTTATTGTGCTTTTATTGTGTTTCTTCTTGGTAATATGTTGTTGCTATGCCAATATAGACGAAAGTCTCGGTTCCATTGACATGTCATTGAAAAGTATTTGAAAAAAGAGCAGATTAATGAAATTTATTCCTACGTATTAAATTGTTTTGTATTTTTCTATGTGAATGGATGAAAAATTTATCTATGTATGGCGTAAATGTTTGTATTTAATGTCTACTGTTTCACAGAACCTGTCTCTGATATTTAAGTCTACTATTTTACTAGGCCGATTAATTTAGGGGGTTGAATCAATTAATTATTTCACTCTGGTAAACTAGGTTTAAATATAATTGCTTTTGGATTTAACAATTTACCTTATTTCAATCTATACATTTGCAATATTTTGTAATGTGATTAGGATGACATTTATGTATTTTTAGGATTAGGATGACTTCTTCAGTTAGTCAAAGTTTCTTATTTTATTATTAAATATTTTTTTACATCAAATACCTTGATAGAAGAGTCAGTAGCTTCTTTTCAAGCACTACCAAACAACAATGAAGGAAGAAGAAGGTATCATTTACGAAGTGATGGAATTGAACCCCTCTGGAATTGTACCCCCTCTAAATGTGACGTCAATATGACGTCGTATCAGTGGGGGTACAATTCCAATGGTGTACCATTCTGGTGACCCACATTAAAGCATACCTGTGTAAGATGCCAGTGTTTGGAGGCCTTGGCGATGGGGTCGGTCACTTGAGTACAGGCGGCGCCAAACAACATCACTTTGTGAGGACCATCGTGCATCATGTCAAAGAAGGCTTTCACCCCCACAGCGGCATTACACTAAAACATCAATTTACAATGAATTTAATTTTCCTAAAAGCCAGAGGTATTTACTTGACAAAATTTGCACTTTACACTTTAAAATCAGAAAATATTAAAACTCAGGGGATGAAAACTATCTACAACAGTTTCAGTGCACTCCATGTTTTATTAATTAACATGATACATCAATAGGATCGTATCCACACAACAGGAGTTAAGGCTGTAAATTATTACATTTATAAAGACTTTTAAGGCTAATGTCAAACTTGCCTCTAATGTGAACTTACAATAGCTGAAAATATAAATTTTTACATGTCAACGTACACACAACCAACATAAAATTAAAGAGAGTAAGAAGGTTTAAAATTTAATGTGTAAACTGAATTTGGCCCAGACTGATACACAGCGCACAGTATTTCACTGACGCAGAGTAAAGTTCAACGAACTTTGATGAATCGATGTAAAGTTATTTTTGAAATAGAATAAAATCAACAACGTATCTGGTAGGTTATGAATGATGGGGTTGTATGATCAATAGATATCGGCAGGTAATGCATTTCGGAGCCTGGCAGAGGCAGGCATGATAAGCCTCATGACTGGCTCCAATAACCTGTGAGGACTCCCAGATCCATCATTCACCCTCTCACCCCCCCCCCCCCCATACACTCCTGCCAATCTCTCTCACACACACCCACACACACACACACACTAGACTTCTTCACTCTGACACCAGCCCCTTCCAACCACTTAATAACATATGTCCCCTTTTTTGGGAACCTCTTTTTATGGAGTGTCAATATTTAAAAAAATGTACCTTCCTAAAATACCGGTTCAGAGAATTAAAAAAATTATGATTGATGTTAGTTTGTTACTCCAATCGTCTTCGGGCTCAATAGGTGCGAACAGGCAAAACATAGCTTAGCATTAACAATCATCTAGTATTAAATAAACTAATGTAATTATTAACATATTTTGGAGTAATAAACGTATAATATTACCACCACAGTCAAAGTTTACTTATCATAGTGTTAACTTTAGATTTTAATTTATAAGTATACCATTTACCCTTTCACAATTCCCCTTTTTTATTTACAACCTTCATACACACTTATCTAATTTATTTTACAATAATTTTTGAGAATACAATTCTTCTTTTAACAATGGCTTGTCTGTTTTTTTTACACTAAATGTAGGCTACTAAAAATTAAGTAACATGTAAATGCTGATATAAAATAGAAGCAAATATTGCAAATATTGTTTTGAAATGCTGTCAGGCTAGAAACTTAAAAAATCAGAAAATTTACAGAAATTAATTCCACTCAATCAAAAGTCCATATAAAAATAGGAGTACATTGTAGTGCTTGTTAATTACTGTGGTCACGGGTCAGTTCTTATAATGTCGAGGAAAATATCAGGTAATTATCTGTAAGAAAAAAACTTTTTAAGCTAAGATATTTTGATTGAAAGAAATAATCTTCGGTTTCACGTATTTGTCTCTTATGTTGGTTAGTAAAAGTATTTGTTTTGTTTCCCCATTTATAACACATTTTCCAACACATGTTTCGTGATATTATATTTTCCATCCCTACTGTTATTCTAACAGATCATTGTTAGGCTTAAGAAAAATTGCCTTTTATTGTCGAAAAATCATGAAAAGTTACAACATTTTACCCAATAGAAATATGTGTACCTAATGGTATTATAAGTAAATATTATTAAATAGCTTATGAATTACGTTGTATTTATTCATTTTTAAACTAACAGTACTTCGTTTAGGGTGTGCATTCCGATGGAAAGAAAATATTCACAAAATGTAATTTTCATATATTTTTTTACTTACTATTATTAATTACTATTATTAATTTACTTGCTATGCTTTAGTCGTAAAAACCTGAACATAAGTGGATCGTCATTTTTATAAAGCCTTAAATTTATATTCTTCAACATAATATACTCATCGAGGTTTTGTTGTACGCGTAATTCAAACACCACACCTAATTTAGGTGTAATTCTTCTATGCACCTCACTTATGTTATTAGCAGACACAAATATACAGTTCAAAAGTAAAATTTAAAATATGTAACAATAAATAAATCATTTCCATGTATGAAAATAATGTAGAGCATTTCTAAGATAAATCTTCGATGAATTCTGGACACTTCGAGACGGAAAGGAGTTGGACGGATTTTCAAATCACAATCCGCCGCAACTGCCTTCCCGACCCGAGGTGACCAAGTCTTTTGTAGAAGCTTCTGGAATCTTCAAGAAGTCGTTCTAGACGTGAGCAGAAAGTCTTCCAAACAGCAAACAAACTTCACTCTTCTAAATGTGAGCAAAACCCACTTACTGAGTATTTTCAACAACATTGTTTTTGACATTATTGGCTAGCTATAGTGATTTTCTTATGGCATCTCCACCTCCTGTGTAAGAAGATTGTGGTCACCTAGACAATAAATTAAAGTAATTTTTTATGGTGTTATTCCAGTTAAAAAAAGTTCTACTGTTGTAAGTTATAAATACAAAAGAATGTTAGATAACTGTAAATTTATATTTATGTAGGTATAGATGTAATTGCAAAAATGTTGTATGGAAAAATAGTTTTCTTCATGCTAAAAATGTGAGTTTGCCAACTTATGTAAAAGTCCATCCGAGAAAATCAATACATCGTATAATATAATACCAAACTTTTGAAATTGTTTAGACTTATGCATATTTTTCTATCACTTTGCCAAAGATAATCATTATTACTGTTATAATCAATCATATTAATTTCCCAGTTATACAGGGTCATAAATTACTGTACACATTTTAAGATAAAATAAATAAATAACCAAGCAACCTAGAAACATGGGGATTGTTTCATTAAATAGCAAATTAAAAACAGTTTTATACAGTAACTGCAAAAAAAAAATTATAAAAATTTCAGCAATTACGAAAAATAATTACAAAAAGACTTTAAAAATCACCTAAACTGTTATTGTAAGTTATGTTCTTCTGAGGGTATGACCCTTAAGACAACCTTTTGGACACTTTCCAGTCGTTCTAATTGTCTATACCAACATTTTATAGAATTTCTACACAGAGAATTACGGTTATACTCTAAACGAAGCCCTCTTTGAACAGTTATTACAGATTTGCTTTCATGAAACCAAAGACGTTGCTTTTTATTGCACACTAGTAATTTTGTTACTTAATTCGGTTCAAGGTTTGATTCACCAAATGTCATACACAGCTGGTGTAGAAAGGTCCATTGTTGGTTTTGCTATACTAACTATGCCATGCTATCCATGCTGACTAGGCCACAACACAAGTCATAACAAAAACAACTTACATTCACTGTTTGAGTGATTTTTGCAAATTTTTTATAACCACTTTTTACAATTACTGACATTTATATAATTATTGTTTTGCAGTTGCTGTATAAAACTGTTTTAAATTTGCTATTCAATGAAACAATTCCCATGTTTCTAAGTTGCTTGGTTATTTGTTTATATAATTTTAAAATGTGTCCAATAATTTGTGACTACCCTGTATTTCTTTTCCTTTTTATTTTACGGTTTAAAAATCTCATTTGAACAATTTTACTCACTAAAATAGAGAAGCATTAATGTTATAACTGCATTAGATATAGAGTGACAACTCTATTTATTTAGTATTTTTCAAAGTCAGCAGAAATAACGATGTAGTTAGTCCAGTCAAACAGTGGTTGTCCCTAAGGTTTTCCCTCCAAAGTGTCCAGCTACACATGATGTATGCCTCCCTAGAGAACTCCCCACAGCTGTTCATCCCTCAGAGAATCAGCTGATGTTTCGTATCTCCAGCGTCTCATTTGTCTCGTTGCTCGGCTCAACCTAAATTGAATGTATACTCCAAGTTTTTTTCACATTTACAACAAACTCTTCGATAATTTTGAGTAGTTAAAAGTGCTAAAACTGTTATGGTAGTAACACTGAAATAATTTTCGACTGGGTAAAAACTAAATAAAAAAAGAAAGTTGAAATAGTATATTTCATAACAAGAGTAAAAAGTAAGTCCATTACATATTTGAGACCATGTTTGAAATGCGAGATTTATCGAACACTTCAAATAGTCAAGCATATGTAATATATGGACCCAATTTCACTCGTGTTTTTGACGTTACTTTTCGCTACACTACAAAGGATAATGATTTTCTTCATTACAAAACTCATAGAACCTCTTAGGCTATGACTTCAATTTAAAGTTAACGTTTACTTTAGTTGTTGAAAATTGAAATAGTTTTTAAAACAATAACAAATATTTGTTTTTTTAAGTCGGCAAAAGTAAACGTTACTTTCGCATAGTAAACATTCCTTTGTCGTAGTATACAACGTAATGATAGATTTTCGCAGGTGATAAACATGCAACGAAAACATGTCATGTCACAGTAGTGTAGCGAAAACCTTATAATTCCCCATGTATTTCCCTTGGATAACATTATAAATTTAATGAAATCGTGAATTTAGCTGTACTAAACAAAGTGTATGTCATAGCCTATTTTCAAATTACCATCTAGAATGAAAACCATGACATTACCATTTATGACCTTACCATACAATGTTATAAAAAGAACTACAATTCTATTCATAACATTATACATGCTTAAGGCTGCAAAACACGACAAACTAAAAGTAATCATATATATAAGACACATATATATTCAGTTCTAGAAAAGCTTATTTAACAAAATCTTTATGAAATTGATGTGTAAGTATCCTTATGGATTTGGTTTCAGTGATATTTTTTTTATATTATTATCATTTTTCCATGAATATGAAATTAAACTGAAAAAAATCATTAGGGTTTCTCGATTAATATCTTAATGCATAAGAAATATTTGTTTACTTACTAAATTCGGTATCTTACTCGCAACCTCACTTATACTTTAAAGGCAAACATAGGCATTTTTTAAATAATTAAATTACATCTGAGCAAGTGTAGCTTGAAATTACTTGTCTGGGTTTTTTTCTACCTATATTGCAATTTACATAGGGGGAAATAATTGAAGCAAACATACTAAATACTCTAAGAATTAATAAATCAACTTAAGAATAAAAACTAACTTAAAACTTAACAGGCTTAGGCAGTATTAAATTACATCAAGCTTGTACATACTTAGTACACAAGACATATTCAACTTGTATCTTCATTGAAATGTATAATGTATAAATGTAAAATTAAATGTAAATGTATAATGTACATAAACAAAATTGACCGTTTTACTCCCCTTAGAAATAGGATTGGAGCCAATGAATCGCTTTTATCATGAATACAAAGTATACTAAACATTTGCCAATAGGGTAATGTAGAAATCTCATTTAACCTTAAGCCAACTTGAATATTATCTTAAGAACCATTAAGGGTATTTTTCAGAGGGCTGCCCCTCAAAAGACATGTTAGGGTAGGTTAGATGAAATTAGATTATGTTAGTTAAGGTTGGTTCAGCTCGTGTGTATTCGTGCTTTCGTAAGTCCAAGTTCAGTTAAATGTTGGTAGATTTTAGAAAGATTTCGTAAATGTTACCTTGCTTATCATTATTGTAAACTTCATTAAACGATACTAAGCTAAACTAGCCTAACCGCTTGAGGAATTTGTGGAAAGAATAGTAGCACTCTTCTTAAAAGAAATATCCATATACAAGCATCACTACTTACAAAAAACTTAAGTATTTGGAAAAACATATTCTTAATATCCCTACTCAGGAGGGAAGCCAAAAATAGGATAAGGATAATAGCCATACCTGAGTGTCGTTCCACCACATGTGAAGACGGTAGTTTCGCAGGACTTGAGGACTCTCGTTGATGTGGTCCACAGCGAGCTTTACAGCAGGCATCACCCCGCGGCCTACACTGCTCTCAGGGATGTGGCGGGCGAACGGGAAGAAACCGGCGATATAGACGTCGTGACGCTTGTTGAGGCCTGTGGGACGCTGGGAGCCGGCGTCTGACGCGAGACTGACCAGTAGGGCCATGACGCCGAGCCAGCATCCCGTCATGTCCGTCTCAACCGCCCTGCAACAAACAATTAAGTAACAAACTGGTGATGTAGACTTCATGTCACTTGTTGAGGCCTGTGGGACGCTGGGAGCCGGCGTCGGACGCGAGACTGTTCAGTAGAGCCATGACGCCGAGCCAGCATCCCGTCATGTCCGTCTCAACCGCCCTGCAACAGACAGCTATGAAAGAAAACCGGCGATGTAGACGTCGTGACGCTTGTTGAGGCCTGTGGGACGCTGGGAGCCGGCGTCTGACGCGAGACTGACCAGTAGGGCTATGACGCCGAGCCAGCATCCCGTCATGTCCATCTCAACCGCCCTGCAATAGACAGTTATTTAACAAACCGGCGATGTAGACGTCGTGACGCTTGTTGAGGCCTGTGGGACGCTGGGAGCCGGCGTCTGACGCGAGACTGACCAGTAGGGCTATGACGCCGAGCCAGCATCCCGTCATGTCCATCTCAACCGCCCTGCAATAGACAGTTATTTAACAAACCGGTGATGTAGACGTCGTGACGCTTGTTGAGGCCTGTGGGACACTGGGATCCGGCGTCGGACGCGAGACTGACCAGTAGGGCCATGACGCCGAGCCAGCATCCCGTCATGTCCATCTCAACCACCCTGCAACAGACAGTTATGTAACAAACCAGCGATGTAGACTTCGTGTCACTTGTTGAGGCCTGTGGGACACTGGGATCCGGCGTCGGACGCGAGACTGACCAGTAGGGCCATGACGCCGAGCCAGCATCCCGTCATGTCCATCTCAACCACCCTGCAACAGACAGTTATGTAACAAACCAGCGATGTAGACTTCGTGTCACTTGTTGAGGCCTGTGGGACGCTGGGAGCCGGCGTCGGACGCGAGACTGACCAGTAGGGCCATGACGCCGAGCCAGCATCCCGTCATGTCCATCTCAACCGCCCTGCAACAGACAGTTATGTAACAAACCAGCGATGTAGACTTCGTGTCACTTGTTGAGGCCTGTGGGACACTGGGATCCGGCGTCGGACGCGAGACTGACCAGTAGGGCCATGACGCCGAGCCAGCATCCCGTCATGTCCATCTCAACCACCCTGCAACAGACAGTTATGTAACAAACCAGCGATGTAGACTTCGTGTCACTTGTTGAGGCCTGTGGGACGCTGGGAGCCGGCGTCGGACGCGAGACTGACCAGTAGGGCCATGACGCCGAGCCAGCATCCCGTCATGTCCATCTCAACCGCCCTGCAACAGACAGTTATGTAACAAACCAGCGATGTAGACTTCGTGTCACTTGTTGAGGCCTGTGGGACGCTGGGAGCCGGCGTCGGACGCGAGACTGACCAGTAGGGCCATGACGCCGAGCCAGCATCCCGTCATGTCCATCTCAACCACCCTGCAACAGACAGTTATGTAACAAACCAGCGATGTAGACTTCGTGTCACTTGTTGAGGCCTGTGGGACGCTGGGAGCCGGCGTCGGACGCGAGACTGACCAGTAGGGCCATGACGCCGAGCCAGCATCCCGTCATGTCCATCTCAACCGCCCTGCAACAGACAGTTATGTAACAAACCAGCGATGTAGACTTCGTGTCACTTGTTGAGGCCTGTGGGACACTGGGATCCGGCGTCGGACGCGAGACTGACCAGTAGGGCCATGACGCCGAGCCAGCATCCCGTCATGTCCATCTCAACCACCCTGCAACAGACAGTTATGTAACAAACCAGCGATGTAGACTTCGTGTCACTTGTTGAGGCCTGTGGGACGCTGGGAGCCGGCGTCGGACGCGAGACTGACCAGTAGGGCCATGACGCCGAGCCAGCATCCCGTCATGTCCATCTCAACCGCCCTGCAACAGACAGTTATGTAACAAACCAGCGATGTAGACTTCGTGTCACTTGTTGAGGCCTGTGGGCCCGCCTGTGTGTGCGGGCTATGACGCCGAGCCAGCATCCCATCATGTCCTTCTCAACTGCCCTGCAACAGTACACAGAAATAACAAGGTAAAATGTCTATGAACACTTTTATGTTCAATAATGTTATCCTCCGTTTTGGTAAATACAGAGATTTTCGTCCCATGAATATATTATTTTAGCATACTACGGTTTTGATGGTTGACCAATTAACTGTTCTCTTTGTACTCGGCTACCGGGACGAAATAAAAGAGGAAATTTAATGGGAAAGGAAATAATTAAATTACAATCCCAGGAAGAGACCACTGTTCGGAACTGACCGTTTGGGTCGGACTTTGGCGTTCAAAAAGAAAAAGTATAAAAAGCACCAATCGCGTTCTATTTTGTTTGCTATTTGATCAGTCTGATTTAAGATAAACTTGTTATAGTTTTAAATAACTGTTAAATCAATCTAATGTTAAAATATTTCAATATTTATTGAAGAGCCATCTTTCATAATTGCCTAGGCTTAAGTCCCGGCTATCGCCATTGGCAAGAAATAGTAAGCATCGATCTCTATAGTAAGTGATGATGATAAGATTCAACACACTAAAAATTACTCACAACCTGGATGCCGATCAGACTAATTAGATTTGGAAGAGATAAAGTTCTATACATGATTTTCATTAGGATTTACAAACTTTAGAATAATTAGCTTTACAACCAACTACTCTTCTTCTCTCCGTGGAGTGGGTGCGGGCACACACACTACTAGGGGGGATAGTGGCCTTTAAGAGGTTGATCGGTTGAATTTACCGCTTGTTATTGGTTTTATCGATTGATAGATAGACTGATTACTGATTAATAGATTGACTGATTAGATATGGTACTAAAACTACCAAAAAGATGCTAGATTGACTGATTTTTGTGCAAAAACTACCAAAAGACGATGAGTTTTCCTTTATTCCTAACATGCCTACTGAAATAATGTACCAAATAGTATTATTATCTCAAGTATAATCAAAATAACTCTAGTTTAACCTAGGGCCATGTTTAATAGATAAGTGAAATCAGTCTCTTATACCTTTGTCTACCATAAAGTTTTGCTACAAAAAGTAATTAGTCTTAATAGTGATTGATTGTCTGATTGATGATTGAAATAACAGGATTTCTGTGAGTATACTTTGAGTTTATCCCGATTTTTGATTTGAATGATGGTAATAGAAATAAATAAATACATTTTTTTATTTTGTTGACAGTTGTTTAAGCAAAATATGCTATCACAGTTAAGGATAATAAAAAGAATGGTTATACAAATATACAATTTTATTATATACAATTCTTTTTAACAATAACAAGAATTCTTTTTAAAAATTCAACCATCTATACAAAGTTAGGTATGAAATTCTGGTTCACAATATTTCAAATCATTTTTATACTTCCAAAATTTACTGTTCAATAGTGAACAACAACAACATATTTGATAAAAATCATTAAAGTTGTCTCTACAAAGCTTCACACAACTTGAATACTTCTTGCATGAGTCGCATGTTTTTATTGTTCTTCTTATTCCACAATCAATCCATTTGGGTAGATTTGATGTTGAGTCGAATTTAGAGTCTTCCATTTCATTTAAAATCTTATATGTAACCTGAACATTTCCTGTTAAATTGTCTTTATTTTCAGATAGTATCTCCATAATACATTTGACTAATTTACTTCTATTGGATATTATACATTTTCCATTTATTATGTCATGTATTTTTTGATTAATGGATGGAATTTTATTCTTAAATCTTTGAATCATAGGTTTAATTTCTTCTTTAGTATGTACACTCAATGTCCCGAATCCAAAATTCATTATTAGATAATCTCTAATGAGAAATTTTAAAAAATCTTCATAAGATAACATGTTAGGATATAGAATATAACAAATGAATTCTCACCTGTAACACTGTTATGACCCACTAAGTATGAAGATCATCCATCAGATTATATAGTAAGGAGAATTCAAACAGTTTGTAAACCAAAGTGTTGGTCCCAATGTCATACGTGACTAGATATGAACATAATGTTATCAAGGCTAATGTTAACTAAACCTTCTTTTCTTCTTAAACAAACATCTTTTGGCATATTCAATATTTTATAGTTTTAATTATTACTTTAAATTCATACAAAATAAGTTGGGAGAATAATCTCCTCAATTTAATTGCATATTTAGGGCTCAAAAATCCATTTGAAAAAATTTTCCTCTTTCAAGGAGATTACTGTTAACTTTTGCCATTTCTCATACAATGATGCAGTATATAGTGAATTATTATTATATTTCTTGGCGATTTATATATTTTATTGACTCAACTGACCATTTTTAATAAATTTAACCTTTATACTTTTGAAATACAGTTAATTGTAAATTTATAGTACAGGAAATAGACAAGGTAGAAAGTAGTTAATATCGCTTGAAACAGAAGATTAAACACTAATAAATGACTTTGTTCAACTTTATTCATTTTGTAAAAGCAATATATTTTCTTGGAGCCTTAGTAAAGTGTTTTTAATCTTAGAATGATGGGTACAAGCCTATGATGGACCCAATATTTTGTAAATTTCAATCTCTTGACACTATACTATAAAAAACCTTTCTTTCATCATAGTTTCTTAAAAAAACTATTTGATTGTTGTAGGCTAGTAATGTAAACTGATAAAGTACTTACTTAAGTCCAATTAGTACCACAAATAACCAATAAATTACCTGTAATAACAGTCCTGTTCTAGCTGATGCCAGATAAAAGAGAAAACTCTTAAATAATGGCAGAGCTCTAGGGCAACAGTTATCACTAATCAGTTAATCAATCAATCAATAAAATCAATAATAAACTAATTAGTTAATCAATCAGATAAAACCAATAAAAAAGCGGTAAATTCAACCGATCAACCTGTAAAGGCCACTATTCCCCCTAGTAGTGTGTGTGCCCGCACCCACTCCACGGAGAGAAGTTATTTATTGAGAGTGTTATATCAGTTATCCCCCACATCAGTCTAACACATCTTTAAGCTAAGATGATTGCATTAATTACTTGATACTGTAGATCCAGCGATTCAGAGGAACACCACACATTTGATACAAAGCCAAATCTAGCTATCTAGTCCATGTTAGTGCTGCTATGGGCTGTTGAGAATAGATAGCTCTCCTGGGCATGGTCGTAAAAGGCAGTCGTTAACTATACGACTCATTGTCTAAGCTGCAGCACCGCATTCACAGCTGATCAGTGACTCATCACTTATGGGAAGTTGTTTGTGAAAAAGTCTCAACTTTACGTTTTGCAAGCTCTATTTGAGCATGCAGAAGAAACCATATTACGTCTTATTTACCATTCACTATCAACAACACTAAACCTCATTGATAACTGGAACAATGTACAAAAGCTGATCGGCAATAAATAAAGAAACCCAGTTTACTATTATATGAGCTAATTTTGTTGTTAAAAAGTTCTCAGGTTAGATGTAATTATTTAGATTGCGTTAAAAATAAAACACCTAGTAGAAGATTTCTGACATTTAAAAGATCCCTTTAGAAACTTTGAAACTTAATTTCCATCTCGAAAATGATACCACATCCCTTTATGCATGTTTTCACAAAACGGACCCTCCTATTGTCAAACAAAAACATCAAAACCGTTTACCTGTAAAAAAGGATCGGACGTTATTAAATTTGTAGCTTCAAAGGGAAACTTCCTTCTGGAAGTTTAATATTTCCGTAACAAAATTCAATTATTTTTCAAGTGACGAGGAGGCAGCTCTGCTGGGGGGGGGGGATGTGAGGGGGTAGAGTCACCCTTAACTACCTCTCGACACGCAGTCTTGAAGAAACAAAACGCTCTCGGCTAAGCGATCGACCCCATTCCCAGCTTGAGACATTAAGTGGGCAGCGCTGGGTTTAATCAGCGCTGTAAACGTCTTGATTGCACTTTCCTTCTTTGTACCTCCAATTACCTATTGAAGTGACGTTCTTTTAAGTCGTTGAAAACATGCATCATAATGACTTGGGATAAAAGATATCGTGATTGCATAGAATATCGTGAAATGTTTTGTTTACGTAGGAAATTTACATACTATGTTGGAACAATTGGATTGCACTAGCTTTGAAACAATTGCTCTCTTTAGAAAGACTAGCTGTTACCCACGGGTTTCACCCGTTTGACTTCATTAAAGTATTAATAAAACTAATGATTGGTTAAGTTAAGCTGAAATAAACCAAACAGAATACAGTAATACAAACAAATAATCATACCTGATTTCAATTCGGTAATACATTGAAAGAATAACAAACAAATAAGTACAGCTGAGTTTTTTTCGACATTAGGTATATGGAAAGTTCCCTTTAGAAAGAAATTATGACCTTGAAGGGCAATTTATGAAATAATGGATGGTTCTGCGCAAGGTTTCTCGTCATGACGAACATTTTAAGTATATGGTTTATGGGGATGTGAATTCTAGTTTTCTCACAAGTTCATGGGTAATTTGGGCTTTATATATGGACAAACCTGCTGTAATTTTTTTAAACATCGGTTGAAGCATAACTGTTATGAAATGAACATTCATCTTATTTCCCTTTTGGATTGTAAATAGATACAGAATACCAAAGTCAATCCTATGGTATTTAATAGATGACTATGGTTTCAGGGCATGTTGCCCATTTTTGCACCCTTCTTCTTCTTTTATGCTTAACGCTTGTAATTGTTAATACATAAATTTCACCCACAGTACATGTGAAATAGTTATTTACACAAAATAGTACGCGTTTGGTTGGAAATATGTCATTAATTTACTTATTTAGTTTAAACGACATTTTTTATGTTTTACTAATACTAGATGGCTAAACATGTTGACAGTAGATAATGAATATAATTCATTAAATTATTAAATACTGTCATAATAACTGCATCAAAACTGCAAAAACATGCCAAGCTATCTAGCTATCTAGTATAAGAGGGTTGGCCTAAAATAAAACTATTAAATTTACTTACTATATTTCCATAGTGTTTTAATGTTACAAATGGGTTTTAATTTTAACATAAATACATATTTAGTTTCTTAATTTTGTAATGCTCAAAACATATCATTCAAACCACATTTTCTTATTTTGAACATTAATAAGATAGTAGTTGCCTTTAAGGTCAGCCGGTGAAGATTTTGGTTGAATACATTACTTGATTTTTTTATCATACTGTCCCTTTGTGAAATATGAAGCCTAGCTAACTAATATTTGAATTATGGTAACTAGTTTAGATACTTACAACAAAACATTAGTTCAGACTCCGTAGAAATGGAGCAGACGCTTAACACACTGGTCGATCATTTTGCCGACGGTCTACCTGAAAACAAACAAGTTTGTCAGTTATTTATATATTAACTTTATCCCGTTTTATCATGGGTCAAATAAAACCATGCATGTAGACTTTATGTGTAATGAATAAATCCATCGATGGCTCAGTTTTGCAAATAATTGCAATGTAAAGACTGCAAACTTGACAGAGACATTGGGATCATATCCAAGTGGCAAAATGTAGGCATTGCTCCGACTAACAGAACTCCATAAAACACTTCCTCAAATTACATCTTTGAAGCATTTTGGTGGTGAAGAGGTCTTTGGCCTTACAAATTTCGTGTGGATTTGGAGTGGCGTCGTCCTGTAATCCAGCTTCTGGAGGTCACGAATTGTGGATATTTAGAGGCATTGTCTGTGGAAGCGTACTAGTGAGTACTATGACTATCCGCAGTACTGTCCTGATAATTAGACCAATTTGTTAATTACAAGGCAAACATTTTGTTCAGATTCCACTATAAACTGTTAGTTGTCATTGGTTGTATGAGCTATTAATTAAAATCTGTGTCTAAGGAAGATGTCGGCCTCAGTCACTAACAAGACTACAAAATCGTGCCTCTCATCCTACACTCATCTCCATTCATACTTAGCTCAGAATATCTACATACGTATGGTCGCCATTTCATAGTAAAGTATTAAAAGTATTAAAGTTGCAACTTATTTTTAAGTCTTTTGCTCATTTTTGGAAGCAGTATCTTATCGTCCTTTTTTCAGAGCAGTAGTATAGTGTCGCATTTTTTTCGGAGTAATGCATATCAATGCATAGGTATAATTTACTCTGGCTACAACTGTCCTATCTTTGAGAAATTCATAATATATCTTGAAAAACCATTTCGATGTTATGATCAGCTTATTTTCTTACGGTTTTGAATTTCGTGAAAAAAATACCCCCGTTGCAGCAAACCTGCCGACTAAACGAATTTCCATTCCTCTGAATTGGTTTTTAATTAAATCTATTTAAATAACATTGGGTTTAATGAGTACCTAGAATTACTGCTACAAGGAAACTAATATAGTGTATATTTTAGTACAATAAAAGCTTAGTATAAAATAAATAAATTTGCCAAGTTTGATCAAAATATATCCATAAACAAGCAAACTACAACATTTTACAATATTCTCCATAAAAATAACATGGGAATTTTTAATTTACAATTTTTTGAATTTGTTCCCTTACCAATAACCCTACAAAAACGATTTGATATACTAAATTATTTGTTTTTTAACCTCTTTAAAAAGGTCTAGAGAGAAATTGGGAAATTTTATATTTTGAGGGTCAAAAATGAGAAAACCCATTTTTTACCCCATAAAAGCCCCCGTAAAACCCCGTTCTCATGATCCGATCATGCTGGTTCACGAACTCATTCATATACATATTAACAATTTGAACGAATGGTGTTTTTGGCCCCTAGGGACATCAAAATGAAAACGTAAATTGGTCTCGGGCCTAGGTCTTACCGTGCCACCTACGGTAATAGCTACTTCCCTATAAGGAAATTCGCTAAAAACTCACATTATTATTTACCTAAGTATATTCAGCAAATGAAAAATTTAGTGATCTATAAGGGAAATATTCAGAAGGGCGATGCTCAATTTAAGAAGGTCCGACAAAGATATAGTGCGACTGTTCTCCCCCTCCCCCTGGTAGCTCAAAAACGGGGTTCAATGGAACACTATCTGCTCAGTCACCTCGCTATATAAAATGGTCTAAGAAGCCAGTAAGCAAATAATATATTTAGTTTAATTATTTTAAATTTCTTCAAATCAAGGAACTAATATTTGTCGTAACTATTTTTTTTTACCGTCTCGCAACTTTAGTTTGTAATAACTATTTCAAGTTATTGAATAACAGTATGTAATAGTTAAACTATAAGGAGTATTTAGTAAGATATAGTAAATACACGTTTGTCGTACAAATTATTCTACTTTGAACTATTTATTAAAAAATATCAGCACTGGCACATTAAACAGAAAACATGATAGTTTCTCTATGACTTTGGGTTAACGAATATGGTGCTTTTGTTACAATCCCAAAATTTAAATAAAAAAAACCTTGATCATAAAAACTTTATGTTAAGTAAGCTAGTTTCGTATTAAGAGTGTGAGAACGTTTTCATAGTTTGGCATAGAATTTAAAGAGTTTATCTCGACGTTTCATGGTTCGTGCAATAATGTTATAAACCTACAAACAAGGAGTTCTTACTCTGTAGATTAAAAAAGTTTTAAACGATTTTACAATCACGACCTGCCATAGAAGGTGCATTCTGACGCTGATACTTATTAAGCTGTTGTATGATCAATAATTGTTATTTGCTAAATTTACAACTATAACATTTTTCAACTTTTCACTGTGCTTTGTGTGTAAGTCTCTACTGGAACTTCCAAAAAACAATAAATCTGACCATCAGCGACGTAAATTCACAAGATCCTAAACGATTCATGAACAATATTTTTTTTATTATTTCGTAATGAATATAAACAAGATTTATTTTCTAATTTCTGACAACGTTGGGGGCAAATATTTAATTATCTGGTTTTATTAATTGTTCTTAGTATGGTGATTAAAATGTATAATAAAACATTACCAAAAAAATCTATAAAAACTTTATTCGTTGAATATTCTTTTCTCCGTTTTTTTACACACAATTTTTACATACTAGTAAGTTTTATCTGTTTCCTGTACAGGAGTGAAAACCATTAGTAGGCCTACTAATCAAAGATAATGTTTCACTTTACTATTTTATTTTTGATGAAAATATTGGTTGCCATTATACCATTTTGATTTTAACCATCGCACTAAACAATCTTTAGAAATGACTCTAGCTCAAAGTTCTAGTAAATTTTACTAATCAATACATATTTCACTAATTCATTTAATTAACAGATTCGTAACACAATTATCGGTACAAGTCTTTAAAGAAATATTTTTAAATCGGCTTTAGCTCTACAAGCTTTACAAGTCTGGTAGAGCGTCGTAATATCTTGCTGTGGTATATTGCAGTTCTGTAATTGAATAGTCTCTCAGAGGTATGACGTCATGAGATGACGCAGTGAGATATTGAATAGAGGTGGACCACCGCAAACACCCTGCGGGCTACCAACTTTGTTTATTGTATATATATAAATATATGTCATTAAACAATATATATTTTGTTTTAAAAAAAAACTTGTATTTAACTTTAAGACGTTGTATATTTACAAAACTGATTCTTTGACGGAATAACGTCACAACATATTACATAAACTTGTATTGTATTTTAATTAACGTACAATTAATTATACACATTCAGTTATGTATTAAATATATTGTATTATACAGTTATATGTTTATATGTTTTTAATTAAGTAAACATATGAAGTAGGGTAAGGGTTTTATTTAGATAACATGTCAAGTAGTTATGAAGTTGTGAATAATATTGGTCTTTTGTACCTGTTCCTGAAATCGAATGATTCGCGATTATCTCAACCATACTACTAGTAAGAACTTTTTTTATAAAATCTTAAAAATGTGATGACGGATTCTGTGTTCCTCATGAGCTAGTTCTTGCCACTGCAGGCTAGGTAAAAAAATTTTTTGTTCCCAATTCAACTCTTGGTTACGTTACTTCTTTACTTAACTTGTACCACTTAATATTATGATCAATAATTAAAAGGTAAAATTTTATTTGAAAACTATTGATAATACATTTTATTATAGCTTGTCAAGAAAAACCTCCTGTAACGTTAAAATCCATTAAGATAAATCAAAACATTTTATTTCAGAATATTCTATCAACAATATACGACAAAATACAGCATAATAGCTTTTAAGTGTTGTCAATGTATGGAATTGAGTTCGGAATTGCCCCAACATATTGTACGGTTTTCTAACGGCTTCAAGGATATTTCTTGATGGTTAAGGGTTAGAGGACGCCATTCTGTTATTGACGATTGCCACGTGTAGCTTAGGTCTGTGTTGGGTTGGCGAGGTCACAGTTCGGAGTCCAAGGTGGTAAGGTCAGGTGACTAGGTCAAGGTCAAAGTCGAGGGAGACACGCCATTTTGACATTCACCCCAATGTTAAATTATGGTTGGGCGGCCAAGGTAATGGATATTGTTAAAGGGTAGGTACTGGTCTGGTGTTTTTATGTTGTATTAATTCAATTCACCAGACCAGTGTTATAAAATTGGAAAGTATACGTTGAAAGGTATACTTTTCCAACACAAAGTAAGGGTGTCGCCATCGTTAAGTTATATTGCAGTGTTCAAAAGTATAGGGAGATAACTCGAAATGGTTGAAGTATAACTCAGCATAATTTTTCCTAATAGTAACAATCTACAGGTATTCATTGAAAAATGTAAATATTTTGTCCGCGATTACCAATCAGGTAAAATCAGTTACCTTATAAATTACCTAAAATCAATTGCGTAATTGGAATACCTAAAAACTATGTTAAAACTAACACACCATATTTTAAAATAATCTGTCAAGCAAACTTTTTACTATGGCATATCCCGGAGTATAGAGATTAAAATATATCCACGATTCATTTCATAATCAATCCGAAGTCAATTATTCAGATGAAACCCGAAATCAAACATTGATTTCTAGTCTTTGAAGCGGTGTCCCGGTAGACTGGTGGCTAAAAGCGACGTCAAAGAGGTTGAATTGCCAAATTATACATTCATGGAGCTCTTTAAAGACTGTTCGTTACTGTATTGCCCACCACGATCATTTGGCAGCCTAAACGTTTTCAAACTACCTTCATTAATAAGTCATTTATAGGTGCTGATATAATATTCAGTTTCTTCAATCGAGATTATCGATATTTTATACAGCATAATGGGTGAATATATACAAATTAACGAAAATTAAACAATTTAAAACAATAATATTGAATAAAAATAGTGTTGTGAATAGCTTTTAGTGTTTCGTATAAATTACAGTCAATTTTAATAAGAAGGTGAAATAATCTACAAACGCTTTTTAAAATGTTTTGGCATTAAACT